ACAACCTTTTGTTCTAGGTACGAAGGTGCCAAGCTAATATAAAAGTTTCTTCACAAGGAGGTATGGAAAACTAGGACTCTCTGCTACAAATAAACTGGCTACATTGACAGTATAAATTCAATATGCTTCTTAATTAAGAGGATGTCTTAAATCTATAATCCTATGACTTGTGAGTGTATGTGTGTGTGTTTATACTGTCCATTAAAAAAAAAATGGTTTGGCAAGATAAAGCATGGGAGACCAAAGTGTTTGCTTATAAATGGGACATTTTATCAAAAGATAGGCTGAATTCATAGGAAATCAAAAGATTGGGTAACTTGGATGGTTTTCATTATTCATTGCCTGCCCCTTACCTTCTAACTCTATTTTGAAGCCCTATTGAATTTCTTCTCCTCATTTTTTTTTTTTTTGTAGTTTCTGGCCTTTTGCATAAAACATTCTTTCCTGATCTTTAGAAATCTCTACCACAGTATTTTGCAATCATCATCATCATCATTCCTTGTTTGTGTCTTCCCTACCCTACTGTATGTTCTAGAAGTATAGGAGCCATAACTTATTCAATGCTCTTTATCTCTATAGCATTATAGTGCCTGCATGCCTGAGGACACACACACACGCAGAGCACAGCATGTATTGATAAACTTTCTTCAACTCACTGCTATTTTATGAGAACAGTCCCATTTATAGCAAGTACATTGCTATAGCCATCCCAGTGCACAAGCAGAAGACACATGTAAATCCTATTCTGTAACTAACAATTCAATCTTAACCTGTGTGATAGGGTTCATTGAAATAAACCAGTCATCTATGGTTGACTGACAAGGAGTTTTAGCTGGGGTTTGAAAGGAAGGTAAATTCTACCTCTGTCACCTGTCAGCTGTTCAGGTTTGGTTAAGTCAGTCAGTCTCAGCTGTTGAAAATGCAGCCTTCTTTTCCTCCTGAACCACACAATTTGATCATATTTCTCAGCTTATTGTGTACGTCTCTGGATGCAACACAATTCTAGCTAATAAAATGGAAGTGGAGTTGTGTACCACTTCCAATTTTGACCAATAAGAACTTGCACATCCCACAATCTACCAACACCCGTGCTCCATCACCCATCTTCATCCTTGAATGACCCGATGGGAATCACCATGGCAACATTAGAAACCACCTTGGAGACCACTGTGGTAGATAGTTACTCAAGTCTTCACTCCCAGATATTAGCAGGAAGAAGAGCTTCTTCTGATGGGGAACTCCTCCACTAATGTCAAAAGAATACATTTTAAAAATAATCCCATTATGGGCTGCGGTTGTGGCTCAGTGGTAGAGTGCTTGCCTAGCATGTGGGAGGCACACACACACACACACACGCACACACACACATATATATTTTTTCCCCAATAATGGTTTAGGGTTTATTTGTTCCTGAATTTTGGCTTACCTTAACTAACACAGAGCATAGTGTGTTCCTCACAAGCAAGACAGTATATATAAGTCTTTAACACCAAGCCTGGTACCTAAAAGCCTCAAGTGTTATATTTGTAACAAGGTTTGGACAATAAATAAATAACAAATGTGCTTTATAAATGAAAAAGTATATGCAAATATTAGATGTCCAGATTGCTTTCTCCTAGGTAGATCTAAGAACTCATGAAATGTCACTTCCACGAAGCCTTTCCTGAGAAAATGAATCTAAGCTTTCCCTCATCATTTTCATATTTTGGTTTTAACCCTTCCCTACACCCACACCCACACACCCATACCCATTCACACCTACACATACAACTTTTTTTTTTGATAGATCTACTTGCATCATTAAATGCTTTCAAATAACATTCTGTAATTCAGGACACTGATTTCATAGAGTAGGTTTACAAACAGCCTATGTGTAACTTCATGGAATGCATTATACAGAGTCAGATTTGTAGCCAATACAGGTATATCTTATGTAAATGTAATTAATAATGACCCAAATTCAGAACTATCTGATGAAAAATGATCTAAGTAAGATGAGAAACCATACAAGGCACAGGTCTTAAATGTAGTCGCAAATCTTCAAGTGGGAGAGAAGACATAAAGTAATTGTAATCATGCTTTCTTCTACTTAGGAGGAAAAAAATGCTCCTTTAAACTTCTGGCTTCCTTGGCCAATGTTTCTTACCAGCCCCTGTTCTCATTTCAGAGCATTAGTAATGCCCAGAATATGTCTGTCCATTACTGGGACTAATGAGCACAGTGAAGCTTACATACAGCTTGAAGAGATTAGTCATCTGCATTTGAATGCTTCTGCTGACAATGGTACATCCATTACTGATGGGGTTTCTTGCATTTGCGTAACTTTTAACATTAAAAGGATTAGGCTTTACTTATCAAATTTTTGCTTTCATCTCTGGCTTTTAAACACAGCACAAGTCAAACTGTTAAAAATAAGAAAATTGACCATGATAGAAGGCATAGTTGACAGCTTTCCAAGCCTTTTAGTTCTACATTTATTCTGACTTTTCTCCCATTTAAAGGGATAACATTTTGTTACTTTTTATTTGAAATCTTTTACAAACCAGAAAGGAGTCTGAATGAGTACACCCTATTGTATTGGTGTTCAATACATGCTAATTAAATTAGCATGGTAAAATGTTCTCATGGAAGCCATGATTAGGCAAATGTTACCTTTGTATATTAAAACTAGCTAAGTTGTACACTGTTTAAACTTGCATGAAGATATCATTTAGCGTTCATTCATTTATGCAACAAATGTTTTAAAGCTTCAGCTAAATGCCAGACACCAGGCTCTGTGCTAGGGATTCTAAGATGAATAAAACAATTGCTGCCCTCAAGGAACTCTGTCTAGCAGAGGAAAGAAACATAGAAACAAAGAGTTCAGTATTGCAGAATATATGAAATGAACATACTATATCACTTTTGAAATTTTAATTCAAACTTTACTTGCTCTCTGGCTATAAGTATAAACATTATTAAAAGTATTTTCAGGGTTGTTTTGATATTGTGGTCTTTTTAGAAATCCAATGAAATATAAAATTCTATTTCCTGAATGGTCATAATTGAAAGGGCATGCGCAAATAATTAAGTATGATTGAAAAAATCAAATCAGATGGATGTCATGGAAACACTCTAAGTTTTATCAAACCTCATTTAAAAAAAAAAAAACATTCATTCAACAAGTGTGTATTAATTAGCTTTTAAGTCCTCAGTGCCTAGACTGTAAGCCCCAAGGTGGCAGTGTTCTGGTCTTCTTTGTGCTCAGCCAGTAGCACTACATAGAAACTTGATTCATACTTCATTGAATTAATGGTTGAAAGAATTTGGAGGGCAATCTGCTGGCTTCCCAAGTGTGTCCTGGTGAATAAGCATAGCCCCTAGCATCTTTTATTATTATCATTATTAGAGTTTAACATCTATTCTAGAGTTGATATTATCCCTGAGATTTAAACATATCCTCAAGAAAAATCAACACTTGCTTAAATGACTAGGGCCAGAAGTAGACTTAAGCTCCAAACTTTAAATACAATTTACTTTCCATTTTTCACACACACAAACATACAGCACAATGTATATGTCTAAAAGCACTGCTGATTGTTATAAATAAATTTTAAAAACAAAAGAAATTTTAGCTAGGGAGCTGGGGAGCCTCCCAATCATGCCTAACAGGCAGAGTGCACATTCTCTGCTGCATGGCTACCACCCTTATTCTAAACCACAGCTTCTTAGCTCCATAATTTGTTGCTTTTTGAAAGTAGCACACACCTCTCCCTTTTTAAATAGTTGCATACTGATACTTTGGTGCTTCTATTTAGTAAATTGTAAATTAAAATTGCAGTATGGCATTAATACTAAAGAATGAGAAAATCAGTGGCAATTTAGCTAATGCCTAAATCTTAAGTCATATCAAGACTTCTTTTTTAGTTTAAGGCTGGTTCAAATTAGCGTATGGTGAGTGGAGAGAAGTTTAAAATATCTGTTTAATGTTTGAGAACAAGTACTGCAATTGAAGACTGCAGGAAACTTCTGCGTGAATATTAAAGTATACACAACTCTTGTATTTTGTTGTTATAAATTAGTTCAGATGCCTGGAAAACTTGTTCAGAGATTTCTACTATAGTAAAATTCGTAGGAATATGACGCGCCCTATTAAAAGTGTTTTATTAGGAATATCTGAATAGAATATTTCTAAGCCAAACATCAACCCTAGAGAGAAAGCACGAATTAAGACAAATAGAAGTCAAAAAAGAAAAAGTGCGAACTCAGGTTTGGTCGATTAGTAAAGAGGCCAGCTGCAGATTCAGGTGGGATCACAGTCTTTAATCCATCAGCCCCTTGTCTTTTTTGGCTCTTAATCACTGACAAATCAAGCGCTTGCAGCTGCCCAAGAGACGTTCATTGCAGGCACTTGCTCTCTGGGGCTACAGGAGGCCTTTGCCAATTTAAAACTTTCAATTTAAAAACCGAGTGACCTGTTCTTGCCCGCCCGCCGGGAGGCTCTTAGGTCCCGGAGGTGGTTTGGAGAAGAGGGAGTTGAGCTCTGCAGCCAGAGAGAGTCACCTCCCAGGCGCCAGGCCTGGCTTTCGTGGCTTTGAAAACTTTCCAACGCGTGTGCCACGGCGACGCGCAGCGGCTGGGTCGGAGCCCACGAGGCCCGCGCCTCCTGCGAGGAACTTTTCGGCGTGTCGGTTGCTTGTCACTCTCGCTTTCCGACGCGCCTCCCCCTGGCTCGTGCTCCCGGAGCTCCCTCCCTCCTGGTGAGGACCTTCCCCGGAGCCCGCAGTTCGCGTCTCGCCGCCAGCCCCGCTGCACCACGGAAGGAGTCCCTCGCCTCGGCCACCCAGCCGAGTGCCTGAGCCACCACCTTCGGGCTCCACGCGTCCCGCTTTGCACAATGGCCCAGCCCGGTCCCGCGCACTGAGAGCCGGGCCTTGGAGCGCTGCGGGGCGCTGTGCTGAGCGGCACGGCCCGAGCCCCTGGCGGTCCCCAAAGAGCTGCGGGGCGGGGGCAAGGAGGAGGAGGGGACCCGCGGCCAGAGGCTGGCCGCTCGCTTTCTTCAAGCGGACTTTTTGCCAATGGTCCAAAGCGACATGTCCAAGTCGCCTCCCACAGCGGCGGCGGCGGTGGCGCAGGAGATCCAGATGGAACTGCTGGACAACGCGGCTCCCGCGGGGGCGCTTGGAGCACAGGTAGCGAGAGCGCGGCGCCTTCTTCCTTTGTGAGCCGCCCGGGCGCCGACCTCCGTTTCTCTCCGCGCCTCCGCTACCGCGATCGCCCGGGTCTCTTGGCCACCTCCTCTTCCCCTCGCCGTTTGCCACCCACTTCTCTCCCGGCGCTGGGGACCCTGCCCCTTTGCGCCTTTCCCTGGCTCTTCGGCTTCCATTTTTCTCTGCTTGTGAATAGCAAGTGGGAAGGGGCGGGGGAGACCTGCCGGTCCTCCCCGGCTTCTCCCGGGCCGCTCTGCTCGGCTCTCCTCGCCCCTTCCCGGGAGAGGCACATGGAGAGACATGAACCAGGCGAGTGGACTGGACCTGCTCAAGATCGTGAGTCCGAGTGGGCGGAAGGGGTCCCAGCTTCCCGCAGCGCTTTCTCTGATGCTGACCCTTTGGTCCAGCTCGGAGCGGGGGTGGGACTGAGGTGTGTGTGATGGGGGAGGATGTGGGTGGGGGACCTTGCTGGGCGCCCTGGGAGCAGCGCCGACCACCCTCAGCACCTGGGGTGTTCCCTCGCCCCGACCACTCAGTTATCCCCAGTGGCAGTTGCCAAAGCTTGCCGAGACCCCTTGTTCCTTTCCCTTAAGGACAGAGTTAGGGAAAAGAAAGTTTTCATTTTGCGATTTCCCTTGTAATGTTAGCTCTAGCTCTTTCAGGGAGCTCCCGGATCCCCTTCCTCTCCGCTGAGTATTTTCGGTTTCTGGAAAAATTCTGCTTCTCTGCTCATTGTGAAATAAGAGATGTCAATTGTAGGCGATGGGCAATGATAAGGTGGCTTTTACGTAAGGCTTTGGCAGGTACTGTTTGGATTACTGACACCTCCAGATCTCAATGGTAAAGAGTCTCTCAACTTTTATCGTAGCAGGGAAATGACTTACTCCTAGCTGTGGGCTGGTTGGCCAGTGCTATTGAAGAGATTAGGGGTACTTTGCAAGCATCTTTCTGGAGAAATGTCTGTTTAATGACACTGGCTTGTTGGTGTCAATCCTATATTAGCCAGATTGTAAATTGTAGTAAGATACATGGGTGTGGGTATGAGAGAGTGTGTGTATACACACATAAAATACATGAGAGATCATGTAAGGGGGTCACTGTGGTAGTGAGGTGGGAGTGAGCCATTCTAATAAAGGTTGCACATGTTTCTCTGCTGTTGTTATTTTGATGGGTGGAAATTGGCTGCTGGAGGTATTTTGATACTGTAATAATAATTCCAAATGGCATAATAGTCCAGCTTTATTGAATTTTCTTTGACTACTGGGAAATAAATGTACTAACTTAGAACACATAATTTACTTTGAGCTGGGGGAAGAATGTAGAAACTAAAGACTTGTATAATAAAAGATACATTTCTTTTGTAGTAGTAAAATAGCACGATTTTAGTTCACCCTGGGCTGCTTAACTTCACCAGCAATGTGGGGATGTGTAACTAGCTGTGTTCTTTTCTAATCTCTGCCAGAAGATCTGATTCTAACTCCTACACTTCCCATTTGTTTTAGACTCCTGATTTGATCTAGATGCTTGCCAGGTTAGATGAGAATGAAAAATGTACTCAGAGACCTTGGTTATTCTAGGATGAAGGTCTTGAATATTGATAGAGGAAGGGACTTTAAAAGTCTCTTTTCTCTTTGATCTTCCTTGAGGGTTTTTTTTTTTTTTTTTTTTTTTTTTTTAAGAAAAGTCTTCATATGATTAAAAACAGTTCCTAAATTATTGGAGATCAAAGTCAGGGCTGACACAAAGCATAACTGCATTCAGATAAGAGGTAATTTGCTTAGTGGTTTATATAATTAAACATTAGTCAACAAATATTTATTGTACAGCTGCAATGTGGAAATGATTCATGATTTCTGCCATCAAAAACTTAAATTTCCAGTAGCTGGAAGTATGACAAATGTATAGCAAGTATATGTCAGGGGCCCGTTAGAGAATATTATGAGGTTTAAAAGGTATAAAAGTCACTAGTATTTTATATTGAATAATCCATAAGGACCTCATAGAAGAGGAGGCATTTAAAAAGAAATTTGAAGGGTGGGTGAGATTTCAACACATTTGGAGATAGTAGGGAGCCATATGTGAAGCAATCACACAAGTTAGAAGTCACATTCATAGCATACTTTTATAATCCCTAGTTTGAAAAGAGTGTGGAAGGGTACAGATTGAGTATGGTTAAGTCTCAGACTAAGAAGACAATTGGAGGCTATAATTTGGAGGCCAGAACATTTAGTGTATTGAATAATAGAGATCTGTAGAAGGGGTTCAGAAAGGCAGCCATTTAACAGATCATTGAAAAGATCCACCTGGGAATGTTAGGATAGTTTGGAGCACAGAAAGGCAGCTGCCTGGAAAAAAAAAAAAATGATGTAACAGTTTGGGCAAGAGGTAATGCAGCCTAAACTAAAGAGAAAAAAAAAAAAAGATTACAAATGTTGTCAGGTCTTCACACTAGACATTTCAAAGATACATCCACAGGAGAAAGGAATGGATTTCGTATCACAGGTGAGGTATAAATCCTGAATGTCAATAGCATCTCTCTCTTTGCTTTCTTTGCCTTCCAAAAAATGAAATCAATTTTTGCTTGAATTGTGTTCACGTGACATCCATTATTAGAGGGTAACATTGCCCTGTTTATTTTATATCTGATTAATCATGGCATCATAGGGCTTGTGTGAAACTTGGCAAAGCTATTCATTCTGTGCCTCTAGTGGGCACAACAGACCAGCTGTCAAACCGCCTGAGAAAGGACACTATCTTCAGAGCATCCCCCTTTTCTTGTGGCACTGAGTAATAGTAATTCCACCCAGAAATAGAACTACCATTTGCAAACAGAACCTGTAAGCATTGGTTTTCAGAAACTTTTCCCCTTCACCTCAGGATTATATTACAAGTTTCGTATGAACAAAGTAAATGATGTAGATTCATAATCTTTGCAGTTATTTGTTTATTTTTTTGTATCAATAATACTGCTTAGTGGGACGAACACCTTCTTATGTTCCAAGCCCTTCCCCCAGCATGCTGTCATAAGCAAAATGGATGCATTTAACATAAATGGAATGGCCATCTAACTGCAAGCTCTTGAAGGTTTTGATTTAAGCCAATTGCTCTGCTTTTTCAGTAACCTGTTGAACAGTTTTGGTGCAAACTTGAGTGGTCTCTATCTTCAAAGTCAAGGTGCTCACATAGGACTCTCCAAGCTCCAAGTCCACATCACCTATTATAGTACCTGTTGGCTACGTGTGGCTTTTTGAGCACTTGAAATATAATCTGAATTGAGATATGAAATATGCACATCCAAAGACAGTATGAAATAAATAGAACATACCTTCATCAATAACATAAATTGGTTACATGTTGAAACAATGAATTTTGAGTATGTTGGGTTAAATAATGTGCATCATCATAATTAAGTTACCCAGTTGTTGTTTGCATTTTTAATGCAGCTACTAGAAAATGTTGAATAGGTAGGTGGCTCATATTATCATTGCCATTGGACAGTGTTACTCTAAAGTATGGAACTGGTCATTCTCCAGGGAGTGGAATAGCTCCTGGGTGGATGAGAAGCAAGTGACTGGGATTGGAAATTGTCTGGTGACAGAAGAGGAAATGGATGAGAACCAAGAGCAGTAGCTCAGTAATGTAGGCCTCAGAGATTGTAACCAGCAACTCCAGTCACACCTGAAAATGAACAGGCAGTAAGCAGAGGGCCTGTTTGTTTTGCTCCTAGCAACGCATCCCAGCTGGTTCCACCCAGGCCCAGTTTGCCAGATGCTTTGCAAGCAGATTGGAGGACTAAGGCCTGGTAATGACTACATTCTGATCGGCTGTAGTGAGGGGCTTTATCAAAAAAAGAGCAGCAGCCTTTTCCCTGTGGCTTTGAAACCAAGTCAGCACTCTCTTCCAGAAACATTCGTAGGTCCCTGTTACAAATATGTCTTCTGCTTTCTTCAAACGTAGTGGTCATGGGTCCTGTGCTTTATGTTTTGCTAAAACCTTCATTCCTAACCACTGGTCATTTTCATTCTGAGTGGTATTTTTGTTCTGGAGTTGCATGGGAGAAATTTAAAAACATGCCAATCAATTTCTGTGGGTGTTTAAATTTGAAATGTAGTATCCGGTTGATTTGAGGAGTAGTTGTTCTGGTAGTTCTATGCTTTTGTTATTATATAAAAACTTAGTGTACCCTTACAATTCCAACAAGTTGAATATGCAATCAGTGGGTAACTTTGGTCCTCTCAAGAAAAGGTGAGTGGAATCTGTTAACCCTGTAAGGGAGGGTGGAACTCTTCAATTTGTCACTGGAAGACATGTCTATATCTTACAGAGAGTATATGGCAAACACCACATAATTACTTTAAAACTACAAAGGGTTAAAATTAAGGTACTACTAAAAAGAACAGTGCATGGCAGGAGGTAGACTGATAATGAGGGTCCCTGGCCACCTCCTGTCCTCCTCCCTAGGTAAACTTCTACTTGCAGACCTAATCCTTCCTCCCTCCTCCATGTGCCTTACCCACAAAGACCTGTGCTAATGTTGCTTCCTGATTTCTTTCTGATTTTGTGTGAACAGACCCATACAAAAGCCAACTTCTTATCTTTCCCCTTTTCTAGGGAAGTCACCTCAGCTATTTCCCTCCTAGTAAAGGACTGGCAGCCTTGCTCACTTTAAACTTTTGGTAAATGAGATTTACCAAAATGAGATGACTCTGGGTAGTTTTGGTTTTGTTTGCTTTGATCCATAAAATGAGGAAAATGAAATTCAAAGGGATAAACATCAATGAATATGAATGGAGAGGAATAAAAACTAACTTTAGGCATCAGCACTCTGCTCATGGGGAGCAACTTGTTGTAGGCAGGAAAATGTCACTGTATGTAGCCATGGAACACAGAACCAGCATCAATCTTATACCTGTCCCCCTGGGGCTGCCATGGCAACTTTATGTGCCCTGCTGAAATCTGCAGTTAACTGAAAACGTAAAATTACTACTGTCTCCTTTGATTATTCAGAAATTAGATTTTAATTACCTCTGAAAACATGAACATTCATTTGCTGAATAAAATCCATTCCTCTGTTTCTCCTCACTCTCCTGTATCTAGTAGAGTCCATGTTTAAATGCTGTTCGGTGTCAAGATGTTCATACTAAGCTGCTATTGACATGATGGATTTTGAACATAATATATTTGTGGAAGTTTCAGGAAATTTTTTTGTTTCTGAAATCTTGGTTTGGCATTTTAGGACAACTAAAGGATTTTAGACATTTTTTCCCCCTTTTTACTATAGTGACAAAATTTGTTTTATTAAGATCCATACAGTTAATTGGCAATGAGTAGGAAATGGTCACCTTCTGGGTTGTTCCGAGAAGGACCTGGGGATCTGCACATGCCAGGGAGAATCTATAGGTAACACCATCCTCTGGCCAAACTCCTGTCTTTTCTCCCTCTTTGGTCTGGTACCCAGAGCTGTTCTAATGGATGACTGTTTTAGTACTGGGTATTCATAACTATTGCTAATTTTTTTTAAAGAAAAACCATTGTTCATACAGGTAACTGTATTTGAAGGGGAAAATTAAGAAAACTATGCTTCTTTCTTAAATATAGCCAGCTAAATATTTGAACACTTAATCTTACCTGTCTCTTTCCATTTTGGGGAGGTTTCTCTTTTACCTTTTTTCTATATTCTTCAGAAGAAATACTCTAGTCCTTCCTTTCAAAGATTCAGAGTAATGGGAAAATGTTATTTCAGCAAGATGAACTTGATTTTTAAATATGCATCGGATGAAAGGAAGTCTAATTTTGTAATGGCAGTATAAATTTTCAATAACATTTTTAAAGTACATAAAAATAGACCATTAGCTTTCCAGAGATGCTTTGTTTATTTATCCTGATTTTTTTAAAAAATAAAAAAGTCAGTGAGTAGTTACTGTACAATTAAAAAAGAAGGAACATTTTAATAGAGAAATTATGCTGAAGTGAGTAAAACGGAATTGAGTTGACTTTTAATATATAATGAATAGGAATTTTCTATAACACTATTATGAGCAAGTTAATAGTATAAGTCATATTCAAGCATTCAAAGTGACTCAAGGACAATATATTTTCCAAATTGTCACCAGTTTGTGCTTCAGTGTGTTCTCATTTTCTAGTAGGCAAACTGTGTTTAGGACAGTTAAACTATTAATTCCATCTTTATATTGCATAGGTAGCTAAGTGCACCTGAAATATTGTTTGCTAACAGTATCCCCAGCGGTCTGGAAAAATTAATGTGAAAATGTGCCCAACTGCTTGCACAGAACAGCCACCTCTGGGACTGAATGTCTTCAGCATTGTGTGGCTCTCACAGTGCATATTGTGTAATTATGAGCAGCCATGAAAAAGCTGAAGACACCCAAGCAGCTGAACAGTAAAATAGTTATCGTTAAAAAGCTGAAATAACAAAACAGCAAAGACACTCTTCTCCTATTTCAAAATGGTCCCAGAAGGAAAAAGGATACAAAGTGGTATTTTCTTTGCTCTCAAAAATAATTGCTCTTCCTCATGAAGATAGTATATTTAACATAGATTGTCCCCAACCCTCCCATAAGAAACATGTTAGGCATTAACAATGCTTTCAAGATAATAGGCATTTTTATATCTGGAATAATGTAAATTTTAAAAAATAATTTTAAGGAGATTCATACCTGATTTTTGCCTTCTTAGGCCTTGTCAGATACTTCTGTCTAACCCTTTACATAATAATTGGAAAAGGAAGAGCATAGTTAAAAGAATGTTATTTTTCAACAGTTTACTGAGTAATGTTTATGTAAGAAAGAAGAATAAGCTGTGAAGTGAGAAGAGCCTTGTATATTACATTATGAAAGCCCAGCCTAGCTTGTCTTTCCTTTTATGAAGTTCAGAGTTAATTAAATGTCATGGAAACACATTTGTATTACATAAATCCCTTAGATCCTTAGAAGAGAACAAACATATTTAAGAAAAACTTTTGCTTTAATATAACACGACCCTCTCACTGATTGCAAATTTACCTAAATTTCTCATAACAAAATGTTTAGATTTCAGCTTGCTTAAGTTGCTATGTATATTTTGGGTTATATTTTTGTTTTTTATTTTGGGGGGTATCAGGAATTGAAGTCAAGGGTACTCAACCACTGAGCCACATCCCCAGCCCTATTTTGTATTTTATTTAGAGACAGGGTCTCACTGAGTTGCTTAGCAGTTTGCTGTTGCTGAGGCTGGCTTTGAACTCAGGATCCTCCTGCTTCAACCTCCAGTGCCTCAGGGATTATAGGCGTGTACTACTGCACCTGGCTATATTTTTACTTTAATGAAAACCTTATTACTTTATAACTAGAACATGAGTGTGTATTGGGATAATTCAGTGATGCTATGAGTCTAATAATTGCCATTATATTATATTCTTTAGCCCAATCTGTCCCCTTACTTTCCAGCCTTCATGTGGGATTGCTTTTCATATATTATTCTGAACCTTCACCATGTACTAGATGTTGTTCTAAATGTTATAAATACATTATTTTAGTTATTACTTAAAACAGCCCCATTTTAAAGATGAGAAAAATGATGCTTGCAAAGGTTAAATTTGCTCAAGGTCTTCTATAGGCAGGATTTTCATGTATGTATTTTTAACTCTAAAGCTCGGCATTGGACAATTTTTCATTTGTTTTAATATTTAATATTTGCAATAAATTTATGCTTGGAATTACACATAGATTGACATAGTGTATTTTCAGAGCTCAAATGTAAACTGTAGATATAATAGAAAAAGCAAGTTCATTTGTAGATGTCTGTTCAGCTGGATCCTATTGTTGAAACAAATCATCTTTAATGTCTTAAATGCTTATTTTTAAATGCTTTATCTTTAGCATCTTTTGCTACTCAGCTGCTAATGTATTTGCAGATAGTGTAAATTGTTTCTGTTCATTAATTATTAAATGTTTTGTCTAGAAATTATTAAATGTTTTCCCCCATATACTTATCAGAAATTTTTGTGATTTCACCAATACTAATCTTCCATTTGCACATTTAATGGCAGTTTCTTACTTGTTTTGGCCTTTGATATTTTCTAGAACTAGGCCTAGATTCCTGTAAAAGGGCTTAATAATAACCTCATTTTTTTTTTTTTTTTTTTTTGGTAGTCATATGGAAAAGGAGCCAGAAGGAAAAACAGATTTAAAGGATCCGATGGGAGCACGTCATCCGACACTACCTCAAATAGTTTTGTTCGTCAGGTAAGGGAGGTCTCATGTTTATGGTTTTGAGAAATGTATGTTAAAATGGAATTAATGTTTTCAAAGAGTCATTTTAAATTCTTAAGATTTACATGGCATTGTTTTACTGTGAATTAAAGCAAAAATTGTGCTGTTTTTCACAATGTAAATGTTTTCAACTTGAGTGAGACTGAATAATAACTACAGTCTTCCCTGGCAATTTGGGGATGGGGAAGTGTTGGCTGCATTAGGGAAGATTTTTTTTTTCATAACAATGACAGAATGGCAGCAGGAATGATTGCAGGGTTTTGAATTTGGTGGTTTTGAGGAGAGGGAGGAGGTGACATCCAGTTCCTCTAGCTATAGTTTTCTTCTTCCTCTTTGGATTTGGATTGAGAAAGAAGATTGTTCTTGGTCAAGAAATAGTTGAACTTCCAAGGTTCAATGGAATACATGGGGGCACTGATGTTCTTTAAATGATTGCTATCTTTGGAAATGTGGTTTTTGTTTCAATTAACGTGGAGTATACTCTGGTCCTGTGGTCTGGAACTGTCCCCTAAGCAGAAAGTGTCAGGTTCCCTAACATAAACACTCTTCTATTTGCTAACAGAAGGGACTTCAAGTTCTGCAGAAAGCACATGTAGTTCTGTTGAGACTCGGGTCTCCTGAGGTGTGGGTGAGCACGTCTCCATGTGACTCCTCTCAGTGGAGTGGAAAACAACCGAGGCAACTGCAAGAGAACCTGTCTTCCTGGCTCCTTGATGACCAGTGCTCTCATTTAAAAAAAAAAAAAAAATCTGTCAACTGGGAAAGCAGCCCCATTTCTTATGGATGTCGCATTTCCCCATTGCTTCTTGGGTCCTGCATCATGGTTCTAGGTTACACACTTGCCACCTCCCCCACATTTTTTTTTTTTTTTACAGGAGGGTCTTCTCTAAATCCTCTTTGAACTTTTGGGTTTTATTTTTGTTGGATAGTCACACTTGACCTTGCCTTATTAAGTCTGTTGACCCTTTTTGGCACTACCCAAGTGCTTCCCTCAGGTTCCCATGGTTGTTAGCTACAGCTGGCCTTAAACTTGTCATCTTGCTGCATGGGGGAATTTCCATGCTGGCTCCTTGCTGCCTCCTTGCACTCACACCAACAGAGGATGCTGCCTGCCCAGCCATCAGTTCCCCCATGCAGCATTTCCATACACCACTAGTTTGTCTGAGTAACTGTTAGGCTACTGGAGAAATTTTGGGTCTGTGCCAACTGGGAATTTTCTGATTGCCGGAAGTTAAGAGAATTGGCTACAAAGGAGCCAAACTTGTTTACCAAGAAATATTTAGAAAGAAAAGAGATGAAGCCAAATGAAGTCTGCTCTAGAGCAATGTTTTTATGGTGTCAGAGGGAGCAGGGAAGGTTGTAGCAGGACCCCAGGGTGTTTGCCTTGGTATGATGTTATTGTGGGCAGAAGGGACTTCATGGTCCTTGGGATTGAATGAAAGACCTTGGGATATAGTTACTTAGGTGAATCAGCAAAAGGGAAGTTACCAAAAGCCTTTTCCATTTCAAGTGTACATATCTATTCTGTTTCTGGAACAAGGAGATCTAACCTGGAGGGCTAACTCCACAACTGTGAGTCATCAGTTGAGGGCTGAACATATGAGGACCAAAGCAGCTTGTTGAAATTGCATGAAAACCAATATTTAAGTGAGCAAGACATGGCAAATAGGAATTAATAATATAGAATTCATTATTTTTATTTAAGCTCTTTAAAAAAGTTTCATCGAAAGGCAGTCACTGAACCCCACTTTCCATTTTTCCCTTTAGCTGTGTATTTACTCCTCTTTTGTGGAATGTTGTGAACTTAATTCACAAGGCTAGGAGGGATGACCATATTTGAGTATAAAATAAGTGGAATTTGATTTTCCTCATAATAACTTCCTTCTGACATGTTCTTAGAGATGCATGTTTGCTTGAGAAACAATTATAAGTGAGAACTGCTAAACTATCTAAATGTAGATATATATTGTTAAAACATGTGAGAATGTAAGAAAGTGTATTAGTCAGGGTTGGCTAGAGGAAGAGAATCAACAGAAAGTATAATTATAAAAGGGGATTTATTGGTTTGGCTTACATGACCAGAAGCTGGAGAGTCCACAGTGGTCGTAGGACATTAGGCAGTCTTGATACAAAGAATAATTATAAAAGGAGATTTATTGGGTTGGCTTACATGACCAGAAGCTGGAGAGTCCACAGTGGCCATCTGCAGGTTGGACAGCTGGAGGAACCAGTAGCTGTACAGTCCAAGATGCTGACACCTCAGAACAAGAGGGATCAATGGTGCTACCCTAGTCCAAGGCCAAACGCTTTTAGAAACTCCTTGGAGAATCACTGGCAGAGTCCACTTTGAAAGACTGAAGGATCAAGAATCTGATATCCTCAGTGAATTGCAGTAGCCATCAAGAATTCCTTCAAGGAGAATTCAGCTTGCATCTTCCTTGTTCTTCCAACTTTTATCCCATCCAAGCCACTCTACTATTGGACAGTGCTACCCACACTTAGGGAGGGTTTCTACTTCAGTTCACTAACCCACATGCCAATCATTCCTAGACACATCCTTATTGACACACCCAGAAGCCTCTTAATCTTCTGCATCTCTTAATCCAATTAAGTTGACAATTCAAATTAACCATTACAGAAGGCAAAAAAAATATATATATATATTCCAAAATGCAAAAATAGAGGTCCATTTCCTAGAATTTCAATAGAACAAGGTATTCACTATGGTATGGGTTTGGGGGTAATAACCATACACAAGCAGTTGTCTAAAATCATATGCACCAATTGCATCATCATAGAAGGGAGACCAGCATTTTTTGGCATGACTTTGGAGTTTAAAAATTGGGGCTGGGGATATAGTTCAGTAGTAGAGCACTTGCCTAGCACGTGTGAGGCACTGAGTTCAATACTCAGCACTATAGAAAATAAATAAATAAAGGTATTGTGTCCATATAAAACTTAAAAAAAAAATTAAGCTAAGTTGTAATTTTCCTTGGGAAAATTTAATCTCTATTCCATTAAAATAGCCATATTTTGGTCCCATTTGAAAATAAGCAAAACCTCCTACTGCATGGGTGGAAACATAAAATGCATGGTAGATGGTAACAGTAGCATTTGGATTCATAAGTAATTTGAAAGGTCACCTTTTAAATGTTTTCAGTTTATCATAAGTAGATGTTAAACAAGGGACTCCTGTTGAAGTATATCATTTATACCTCTTATCTGTGGCCTGGGTTCATATATAATTGGTATTAGAAAACTGGTCAATAAAACTGGACCTTATTTAAAAATATCATACAGCCAGATTCTACTACTGTCTTTGTATTAAAATTATTTTTGATTTTTAAAACATTCACATTCTATTTTTATAAATAATATATTTATAAGACATTTACAACTGGGAAACATTAGGCAGTCTTGATACAAATATTTAAATTTTAGAGGTTGGAAATGTGAAAAATTTTACATAAAAAAACATTAAATTTAAAAAAAAAATCTGAGAATATCAGTTTGTTTGGGGCTAATTATTACCCCTGAAAATTCATACATACAAATATTTAGGGGAAATAATTCTATGCGGAATTCCATTGTGACTAAATTTGGTGATAGGGTCTTTAGAGGGGACCCTCTAAGTTGAATGAGATGAGAAGTATGAGGCACTAATTCAATAGGATCATTGTCCCTATAAAAAGAGAAGGCAGGGATGTTGTGCACACACAGGAGAGGCTATGTGAGGACATAGCAAGAGGGTATCTGTCTTCAAGCCAACAAGAGAGGCCTCACTAAAACCCAGCTCTATTGGCCCCTTGATCTTGGACTTTCAGCCTCCAGACCGTAAGAACATTCATTTCTGTGGCTTAAATCATCCTTTGACACTCTGCTATGGAGCTCGAGCACGCGAATAGAGATGTACATACAATCAGGCTTGCAAGTAGGCTTCCCCCCGCCTTTTTTTCTTTTTGGTATTGGGAACTGAACCCAGGGATGCTTTAACAATGAGCTACATCCCTGGCCCTTTTTATTTTTAGACAAGTTCTTGTTAAATGGCCTCAAACTTGTGATCCTCCTGCCTCAGCCTCTGAAATGGCTGGGATTATAGGCATGTGCCACCATACCTGGCTTTTTCTTAATTTTTAAAAGTAATTCTTTTATTGATGTGATATATATGCCAAGAAAGGCACAAATCAAGTGTTGGCTCTGAATTTTATATAATCATCACACTAGTAGAACCACCAGGTGAAAAGTAAGCATTACAAGTGCCCCAGGTGTACCCCTTGTGGCCCTTCTCAATCTGTATTCCCTCCTTCACTAAAGGTAGCCACCGTTCCTTCTAAGACCATCCTCTTGCCTGGCTTCAAAGTTTTACATAAATCAATTCTTTTGTGTCTGAGTTCTTTTAACAACCGTGACAGTTTTATTTATTGTGTTCATTTTAGTGATTCATTTCTTTGTTGTACAGCTTTCCATTGTATGGATCTGCCCTCGATGCTTTATATGATCTGTGCTTGATGAATGTTATTTCCAATTGGGGTTATTGAGGGCAATGCTGCTTTTTTCAATTCTTGTATGTATATTTGATAAACACAGGGATGTATTTTTGTTCTTTGCTAGATCATAAGATATGCATGCATTCTACTAAAGTAAATATGGTGAATGCTTTCCAAAGTGGTTGTACCAATTTGCATTCCCACAAGCAGCATATGACAGTTTCAGGTGTTCACATCCTAGCCAATACTTGATGTTAATCTTTTTCATTCCAGCCTTTCTGTGACAGTGTCGTGGAAGCTCATTGTGGTATTAATAACCATTTCATAATTTTAAAAAAAGCTACAAATTCCCTGTGGCTGGATCTGGGGAACATCTATGGAATATTGAATATAACCTGAAAGCACTTATTCTTTGTAGTAAATATCCCATTAGTCCTAATATCTAGATTTCTAGCTATTTGGTTAAAACTATCTTATCCCTGGACA